GATACTTGTTCTAACAGAGGCTCCCACCCTGCCGTGTCCCCCTCACCCCCCGCCGCCCCCCACCCCTGCAGTATCCTCAAGGCTCGGTTCCTGCAGAGGGGAATAAAGTATTAAAAGCAAGAATTTGAATAAGGCTTAGTCCTCGGGGGCCTTTAAGAATTGTCTGGCTTAAGTGGCATGAAAACGCCCCTGTATGGCACCGTTGCCATGGCTCCTCACTGGAACCCCAGGGCCACCGAGTCTGTCTGTGACTCTGAGCCCATCTCCTTCACTGGGAAAAGCTTTGCTTGCTTACAGCCTCTCTGCGCCACCAAATAAAGGCCGAAGCACTAATCTCCAGCCCGGCCTACCTTGCAGCAACAAGCTGGAGAAGGGCCTTACACATGTGATAGCTGCCTCCCTGCACGGCAAGCGCAAGAATTAAAAAGCAAGTCTTGCCATTTTTCACAAATCAACTTCTTTGTGAGAATATGCCCCTTTTTCAGGGCTTTTGCTCTGGACTGATTTTTATTTTTATTTTGCAAACAACAGCAAGATGAGACATGATCATTAACAAAAATTGACATGACTAATTGCACTCTCACAAATGTCTATTTTTGAAATTCCTATAAGGGTATTTGGTTATTTGGGACAGTTACACTGTTTGAACATCAAAAAAGAAAAGAATAGGAGTGGGGATTTAGCTCAGTGGTTTCACTGCCTGCTGCGCAAATGCGAGGATCCAAGTTAGATCCCTGGTACCAAAAAAAAAAAAAAAAGAAAAGAATAATGATATCCTCGATCCTATCAAAGATAGAAAGCCAAATTGCTGACTCCAGTTTTTTCTGGGAGTTAAGGGTTGGGAAGGGAAGGACTCATTTAACATAACCCAACCTGTTCTAAGTATTAGAGCTTCACAGATTAACACAGATGTCTTCTTTTACAATGTAATATCTTCTAAAGAAAATTATCAGAGAAATTTCCAGCATCAGTAGAGAAACCTGGAATGGGAGATCTGCTTCCCAAAATAATACAACAGGGGCCCTGGGTGTCTTCCTCTCTGAGCCTGGTGGCCCCATAGACCCCAGGGCATGTGTGCTCTCTCAAGAAACCCCCTGCAGCCCAATAGGGTGGCACATACCTGTAATCCCAGTACTCTGGGGGGGCTGAGACAGGAGGATTCCAAGTTCAAACCCAGCCTGGGCAATTAGGGACTTAGCAAGAACCTGTCTCAAAATAAAAAATAAAAGGGCCAGGAATATAGCTTAGTGGCGCCATGCCTACCTGGCAAGCACAAGGTCCTGGGTTTGATCCCTGGTACCAAAAAAAAAAAGGGCTGGGCCGGGGATTTAGCTCAGTGGTTCTGCCACCTGCCTCGAAAGCGGAAGGACCCGAGTTCAATCCCTGGTACCAAAAAAATAAAAAATAAAAAAATGTCTTAAAAAGGGCTTGGAATGTAGCTCTGTGGGAAGGCTCTGTGTTTGATCTCCATACCTCCCCGTTCTGTCCACACAAAAGAAGGGCTCCTTATTTCCTACAGGAAATAAGGGTACTCATCCCCAGAAAGGTATTATTTACTGTGCCTTTTATGCAGTTTTGTGGGTTAATCTCAAAGATAAGCAAGTTTTGATTGTTTTAAATGCTTACTAACACATAAAAATAAAAGTGCATACTTATTCTTGGGTTTCAGCAAGTACTGTGATGAAAGGATGCTTAACACATAATATAATTTTTTTATTTTTTTATTTTTTTGGTACCAGGGATCAAACTCAGGTCCTTGCACTTGCGAGGGAGGCAGCAGAACCACTCAGCTAAATCGCCGGCCCCACATAATATAATTTTTAATGTCATTTTTCCTTGTTATCTCTATCCAAATGCTTCTGCTCTACAAAAAAAAAAAAGAAGAAGAGGACCGGGGATTCGGCTCAGTGGTTCCAGTGCCTGCCTTACAAGTGCAAGGTCCTGAGTTCAATCCCTGGTACCAAAAACAAAAAAAGAAGAAAAAAACCTCAAAACCCTGTTAAGTAATCAAAACTTCTTGCAATTGTGCTTTTGTGTGATGACAGACCATGAACTAGAACTGTCAGTAGATACTAGTACTACACATGCAGAGGAACAGGAGCTAACTGCAGCACTAACTGGCCCGGTGCTGCCCACATCTGCTGCTGAAAGGAGTGGAAGGAAGGGTGCCCGGCTGGTTTCCAGGGCTGACCTCTGTAAAACCAACGGCCAGTGGGGGACACGGCCCTCCTCACAGGGCAGTGGGATAACTAGTTGCATGAAGTACATCTGAGGAAGGATATAAGAAATTTAAAAACAGACAAGGAAATCCAGGTTTTTAAACTACTTTTAAAGAAACTGCAGCTTCAAGCCTTTCCCCTTCCAGAAAATGCATTCAAAATAATTCCTAAAGGTCTTAAAGGCCCAGTAAGCCTCTAAATCAGGCTCCGGATTTGTTCTTTTTGCCTGTACAGTGTGCTTCCTCTACCTTCATGGAAGAAGCAGTGTGACAGGGCAGTAGATCTCAACTTCTTTTTTTTTTTTTTTTTGGTACCGGGGATCGAACTCAGGTCCTTGTGCCTGCATAGCAGGCGTCAAAACCACTGAGCTAAATCTCTGGCCCTCAACTTCTAACACATGAGAAGGGTCGCATCTGCCACTGGCTGCCAAGTGGGGATCTGACAGACAATGGGGTAACCCTCCTGGATCACCCATCCTGAAGACCCCTCAAGGGCCATAAATATACCCTACTCTAGCACTAAGGCGCCACTCTCTAAAGCGCTCACACTCGATTTTTTGAGTACCTTTTAATTTCTACTTAATAAAATCTCAAACCCCCCAAACACTCTCTGTTCAAGGTGAATTAACTTCCTCATCTGAGCCTCAGGAACGTTCTCAGACACAGCCCTGTGACATTTTCTCTTGGCGAGCAAGGTGGGAGGTAAAAGAAACATCAGCATTGACTGGTAAGTGTGCCGCAGGCTTTTCATGTTCTTCTTCCATACCATCCTCAACCCTTTGCACTCTGAAGCATAATCTTTTTTTTTTTTCTGCCTCCTTTTTCCCTCTTCCTGTCTATAAACTTCTGCAGCCTTACATTGTTTTGGTTTTGTTTTCAGTAACTAGAAGCTTCAAGTCCCCCAGAAAATAAGTATTCGCTGGGGATTTAGCTCAGTGGTTCTGGCGCCTGCTGCGCAAACGCAAGGTCCTGAGTTCGATCCCTGATACTAAAAAAAAAAAAAAAAAAGAAAAGAAGTATTCATACTGACAAGGAAGCAGTCTCCTTAAATCATCTACATGTGTGAGTCCTAAACACTTTAGGTAAAAGAAGAATCTCTAAACTGTTCCTTTAATCCTCTCCCACCCCCTCCACAAGAAAGCCTCCATCCCCTTACGGCCCCTTCTTGCCCACTCTAGGCTTTCATCTGTCTGAAAACTCAAACCTTTTAATTTTTGCTGATATTATCAGAGAAGAGTTGGAGGGTAAAAGAAATCAATGCTTCTGTGATGCTAGCTTGTATTCTTATGACGATTTTGGCCTCCACTTTTTTTTGGGGGGGGGTACCAGGGATCCAAGTCGGGACCTTGCGCTTGTGAGGCAGGCAGCGGAACCACTGAGCTAAATCCCCGCCCTGTTTTGTTTTGTTTTTTGGTACTGGGAATCGAGCTCAGGACCTGGCACTTGTCAGGCAGACGTCGTGCCGCTGAGCTACACCCCCAGCCCTGGCCTCGAGTTTATATCCCTGTCTAAAATGGTATGTTATTCATTACAGTTGCTAAGTGACATTTCCAGACTTCTTTTTTTTTGGTACCGGGGATCGAACTCCGGACCTTGCGCTTGCGAGGCAGGTGCCAGAACCACTGATCTAAATCCCTGGCCCTTCTCCAGACTTTTTAAACCCTCACAACTGACAGCAAAAGACGAGCCACAGAGGGTTGGATTAACATATATCTTTCTTTAACTTAGTCTTAAATACTCAGCAGAAAACTGTAACCCAAAAAATAGATATATAAAACAAAAATTGGGGGGCTGCGTGCGCAGCTCCTCAGGGTAAAACCGGCAGTGCTGGGTGCTTTGTGATAGCGTCTGCATGCCCGAGTGGCAGGCGATGGGGGAACGACAGAAGACGAGCCCTGTGGATGTGGGGAAGTCAAACAACAGCATGATGATCATATTAGTGCCCCTCAAAGAGGAAAGACGGGCCATGGACATAATGGTGATGGGAAGCTTAAAGATCGTACCTTGCGGTTCCGGCTACTGAAGCACACGTGGCTCAGCGCTGCTGCCTTCCTCAATGAGTTGCCCAGAATTTTGCATGATCTTTGTTACTTCGTAGTAGACTTAAGTGGCCAGACAAGGATGCGCTGTTTTGGTTTGTTTTCTTCTTTTTGTTCTTTTGGTCAATGGAGTCTTCAAGGAAATGGATGGAAAGTCTCGCGATTCTTTGCGAGCCCTCACCAGGACATTCATCGCTGCTCCTACCAGCAATTTAGGGCTGTGCACAGTAAATGATCTATTTGTGTGGAATGCCAGCCTTGAGGATCCAAAGAGCCTTGGCCATGCCTGCTCCCGCGCTGTCCTGCCCGTGCCCACCCTCTAGGAAACGCTGCAGACATTCTCCACCCAGTCTGGAATGAACCTCCAGGACGACTGATATTATCCAGGTCGCCCAGGCGTTCGCTCATCTCAAGGCCAAGGGCGAGCTCCCAGAAGTAGCATTTATGAAGTGACTGCGTTGTGTAGCCCCTGTAATTAGCCCTTGGATGGGCCAACACAGCCACCCTGCCACTATGATGAGAAAGCGCCATGTTCCTCACTGCCTCCTGGAACACTTCCGGGGTGCTGAGACTTCCGGAGGCCGAGTCGCAGTGCCGGAAGCCAACCTGAAGGACCTAGGTACTTTGTAACCTTCGGTGCTGGGTGTACCAGCATCCCTGTACTTTTTAATATAAAGCATGACATTATGTTTTTAAATAAATAAATAATAATAAAAATTTTAGAGAGCTGAGCCGAGGCAAGGCAAGTGTCTTGCTACGTGGCCCAGGCTGGCCTCAAACTTCTGATCTTCCTGCTTCAGCTTCCTGAGTAGCTGGGATTCCAGAAATTGACCTGTTGAGAAACGTTATACAAATACTGGGAAAAACCTGCTCTTCTACACAAAGGGTAGGACAATGTCACAAGTTAAAAACTCTTACTCCTTTGATGCTCCCTCGGACTTCATCAATTTTACATCTTTGGATTACGAAGAAGATACAGAAAATGTAGATTCATGGTTTGAGGAGAAGGCCAATTTAGAGAATAAGTTTCTTGGGAAAAATGGGACAGGAGAGCTTTTTCAAAACAAAACTTCCTTGAGAAAAGCAAATCTTCAGCAAGCTAATCTCACACCTTTGTGACCAGTTGAGAACACTTACTACAAAGAGGCAGAAAAAGTAAATCTTATGGAACATTCTAATTCATCAAATGCTTGTTGCACCCTGGAAGTTGAGGGAACCAAATCAAGAAATACTCCAGCCCAGCCTCAGAGGATATCTCTTAGACTCTCTGCCCAGAAGAATATGGAGAAGAAAGAAAAACACCATGTTCAAATGAAAGCAAAGAGATGTGCCACTCCTGTAATCAGTGAAATTCCACCTTCCAAGAAAATGAAAATTTCTCAAAACAGAAAGGATCCAGAGGAAGAGGAAGAGGGCAGTGCTCAAGATACTTTCAAAAGGAATAAATTTTCCCCAAAGAAAGCCAAGGGCAGACATACTACACCTCATGTACCAACTATAAAGCAGAAGGTTCTCAAAAGTACTGAGGAGCAAGAGTTGGAAAAGAGCATGAAAATGCAGCAGGAGGTGGTAGAAATGCGGAAAAAGAACGAAGAGTTCAAGAAACTTGCTCTTGCAGGAGCAGGGCAACCTGTGAAGAAATCAGCGAGCCAGGTAACCAAAGTAGTTGACTTCCACTTCTGCACGGATGAGCGAATCAAACAGCATCCTAAGAACCAGGAGGAATATAAGGAAGTGAACTTTACAGCTGAATTGTGAAAGCATCCTCCCTCTCCTGCTTGAGTGGCTAAGGGATGTACTATTATTAAGCCTTTCAACTTGTCCCAAGGAAAGAAGAGAACATTTGACGAGGCTGCTTCTGCGTATGTGTCTCTGGCACAGCAGGTTGAGGCGTTCCATAAACGAACCCCTAACAGATATCATTTGAGGAGCAAGAAGGAAGATATTAGCCTTTTATCTTCCAAATCTTCTGTAACCAGGATGTCCACAGAGCCACAGAGCCCTGTACTGCAAACCAAATTCCGAGCGAGGCCTGTGACCTGCAAAAGTACAGTGGAACGGGAGGCTGAAGAGCTTGAGAAACTGCAGCAAATACAAATTCAAAGCTGAAGAGCTTGAGAAACTGCAGCAAATACAAATTCAAAGCACGAGAAGTTGATTCCAGAATTCTTGAAGGTGGGCCCATCTTGCCCAAGAGACCACCTGTGAAACCACCCACTCAGCCTATTGGATTTGATTTGGAAATTGAAAAAAGAATCCAGGAGCGAGAGTCAAAGAAGAAGTCAGAGAATGAACACTTTGAATTTCATTCCAGACCTTGCCCTACTAAGATCTTGGAAGATGTTGTGGGTGTTCCTGAAAAGAAAGTACTTCCAATCACCGTTCCCAAGTCTCCAGCCTTTGCACTGAAGAACAGAATCCGATTACCCACCAAAGAGGATGAGGAAGAGGATGAACCAACAGTGATAAGAGCTCAGCCTATGCCACATTATGGGGTGCCTTTTAAGCCCCATATCCCAGAGGCAAGAACTGTAGAAATATGCCCTTTCTCCTTTGATTCTCGGGACAAAGAACGCCAGTTACAGAAGGAGAAGAAAATAAAAGAATTGCAGAAAGGAGAGGTACCTAAGTTTAAGGCACTTCCCTTGCCTCATTTTGATAGCATTAATCTGCCAGAGAAGGTCAAGAATGTGACCCAGACTGAGCCATTTGCATTGGAGACTGACAAAAGAGGTGCTAGGAAGCCTGAGACATGGAAGCACCAGCTAGAGGAAGAACTGAAACAGCAGAAAGAAGCAACTAGTTTCAAGGCTCATCCAAACACTGTCATCTTCCAGGAGCCCTTTGTTCCCAAGAAAGAGAAAAATTCAGTTGCTGAGGACCTTTCTGGTTCTCTAGTTCAGGAACCTCTTCAGTTGGCCACTGAGAAGAGAGCCAAGGAGTGACAGGAGCTGAAAAGGAGAATAGCTGAGGCGGAAGTCCAGAAAGCCCAGCAGCTGGAGGAGGCCAGAGAGCAGGAGGAAGAACAGAAGGAGGAGCTGGCCAGGCTACTGGTGCACAAGGCAAATCCAGTACGCAAGTACCAGGCTGTGGAGATAAAGTCAAGCGACCAGCCTCTGACTGTGCCTGTCTCTCCTAAATTCTCCACTCAGTTCCACTGCTGAACTAAGCCGTGAGCTCCAGATACTGCCTGGCAGCAGGAGCTGCTCATTACGTCACACCAGGCATGGACAGAACTCTTTTCTCCAGACTCACCAACCCATGTACCGACAACTGTGGGGCCAGTTCTGTGGAGAAGTGTTTTCATACATTTTAAGGCTAAAATGAGACTCAACTAACTCATGTATGCCTTGATGAGACTTCTAGTGGTTTCCTTTAGACATCAGTTTACCCTTAATTAGAATTTCAAGTCTCTGTGTCAGCACAGTGCAATTTCTTTTTCCCTTTATCCCTTCCCTTTTATATATATATTTTTTTTAATCAGAAAATAAAGATAGTTAAATCTTGAGGTAGGATGTAAGTCATGGTTTAAATGAGGAACAGTCAGTATATCAGATTCTTTCCTCTTCTCTGTACAAAATGAGTTTATAATTAAGAGCCTTATGCCATGAGAGTGGAGAACCTCAACCACTGTGCCAGTGAAGAAGACCACATGGCCTCCTGCAGACACACAGCAGCCACTTGGCAAGCTTCTAGCAGAGCTGCTGTTAAGGCCCATTCCCGCCTTGGTGCTGAATACATTTTAGGACCGGGCCAGGAATAAATGTATTTTGTCTTTCTCCTCCCTGGTTTTGTTACTTGGTGTTTTAAAATTTAAGCACCTTTTGAGGTCACATCATATTGGGGAAGTGAGTGATTTGAAATGTGGCTCCAGGATCTTTCCAAAACTCAGGCTCTATCCTTAAAGGAAAGTGCTTTGTAACTTTTTTCTATCCATGGCAGAATATTACTCCATACTTTGTTAACTCGCTTCCAGTAACCACCTAATCATGTGTGTTATACCTTCACATAGATTGTGCCTTCTTCCCTAGATGAGTTTTTTTCTCATCCTTATAAGATTCAGCTCAAGCAAAATATATTTTAGAATTCTTTCCTTAACCATCTGACCTAAGATAAGGATGGTCACTTCCTTTGTGCCTTCCAAGTGTTTCTTGTATGAAATATTTCTAGAGCAATTGTCTCCTGAGTTGCTTATAGTTCTTCACAAAATAATAGAGATATGTCGGTTCCTTGAAGACAAGAATTATTGTAGTCCTCTGTATTTCTTGTGATTGGCACATAATTTGTTTAGGTCTATGCTAAGTAATACATTTTCTTTTGACTTTCAAAAAAAAAAATTTTAAAACTAGGTTACATATAAAAAGGGGGGGTCCACCAATCACCCTCACTGGAGGAAAGATAGCCTATTTAATAAATGGTGTTGGAAAAACTGGATTTCAACCTCCCAGAGATTAAAACTAGACCCATATCTATCACCATGCACTAAACTAAGAT